GGGCCGCTCCTCCTCCCCCTTCTCCCTCCTCCTCCCTCCTCCCTCCCCTCACCCTCCTTCCTCCCTCCTCCTCCCCCTTCCCCTCGCCTCCCCATCCGAGCCTCGCCCTGCCCTCCGAAGCCCCCGCAGCGTGCATGGTGCCTCCCTCGGGGGCTAGACGGGCGGACCTCCGCGGGCAGCGATTGCACGACGCCAACTTCCAGGCGCACCGGCCCCAGTAGAGGAGGGAGTGGAGCACGGGAGAGCGAGGGGGGGGCGGAGGGGGAGGCGGAGAGAAGGGCAGGGAGAGCGACCCGCGATGGGGAGTGGAGGGGCAGGCGGGCGGAGGGGGAGGGGGGTGGAGGAGGGGTGGTGGTGGTGGAGGTGGAGGCCCAGGATGCAACAGAGGCACTTTGCATTTAAGGGTGCCCCGAGCTCCTGTCAGCGAGATGGCACGCCAAATGGTGTTTTGGCGTCAACCCGATCATCGCAGCGCGCGCGCAGCGCACATGAAGGTTCATCACATCTTTCATCCTATCTTGCACCTCGGGTGGTACGACAACTGTGTGGGTCCGCATGAGTTCCATGAACTCTAGGATCGTGTTCCCAGCGCCTATCAGATGTACCCCAAATTGGTCCACCCCCCCATGTGCGCGCAGCATGTCCACTGCGAAGTTCAGGATCAGGCCCGTCTCAGCGGCCTTGAGGCTCATTGGGCCACCAGGGTGCGTAGTGTTCTGGGGAGGGGGCATGTTCATTACTGTTATCGCTGTTAAACCTTGGTGCGTCCTGAGCCTGAATATCAAGGCGAGCCCAAGCCGTTGCGACGAGGCGGTTGCCCATGCCAATTCACCCGAAGCCCGAAATCACAAACATGAAAAATGCGTCCTCCAAATCACACCCGCGCTGCTTGCCCATCATCTTGGGCGTAAGGTTGTTCACGCGCTGAGATCTGTCAATGTTCTTCGCCTCCTGCCACCGAAGTAAGTCATTCTGAAGATTTCTGAAGCACGCATCTAACACAGACGCATCGGACCCGACCACTCCCCAGACGTTCTCCAAAACCATTCTCCACAGACTCGCAGATACGAACCTTTGCACCACTCCCAAGTGCAGACAGTGCATAGCGTCTATAGCAAGCGTATGAACAGGGGACGTCCCCAATTCAGGGCAGAATAGTGGGCATCGGTGGTGGACGCTGTCAATCAACACGTCGTTCGCCCCAACCCTTGGGCGCCAGAACGTGATGCAAACAGGCGTGTCACAGTGCTCAAGACGCGCAATGTCAAACAGTGTGTCTGAAGGCTCAAGGCGGTCGCCTATTTTCAGGTCGACGCCATTGATGCGAATATCTTGAAACACCGCTCTACTCCTTAAGCTTTTCTTGCTGCTTTTAGCCTTAAACCACCTCAAAGATTTGCACAGCTGTTTGAGTTGCAATATGTTTAGGACCTCGACTCGAACCTCGCACCTGGCGACCGACTCCTCGTAAGACTCGTGCCTCCGTAGCAGCCACTGAGACAGCATGAGGTCTTCGTCGAATAGTTCGCTG